AGCTCAACCGCATATCGATTTGCATTCTTTTTTGCTTTAATTTTTTACAGATTATGTATATTTGACTCAAAATATATGATCATAAAATTTTGGTTTCAAAACCTTTCTCGACTAGACTTCAATGCTAGTGTATGATATATAAAATTTATGTAATCTCTTTCCTGCTTACGGTCGTTTCTGCGTATTTGGAGACCATGCCAATGTTCTTCTCGACATAGGTTGCCGATCATTATATTTCTTATTATAGCTACTAGATTTTGACCCGCGTCTAAACGCATAATGACTAATCAATTTTAACATAATTTTTTTATATTTAAACGTGTATGACAAATAATATGATTTTTAATATCTATAAACATACAAAAAGATATGTATTATGCATAAATATAATAAAACTGAATACTTATTATTATCAAGCAAATCATTAGTTTTGATATTTTTATGTGTAAAAATGATCAAAACATATACAAATGTTATTTATTTAATATCTTTAAGTGTAAATATTTCATTATATCTTAATTAAGCTTTATGTTTTTGTTAACCTTTATAAAAATGATCAAAACATTAAACCTTTGCATTCTTGTTTGTTCAAATTTATCTTGTGTTTTGCTTATATTTTACTTATATTTTGCATGGAAAATAAATTATTCCAATTTTATTTAAATTAGAAAAATATTAAAATTGAAGTAGAAAAAATACATGATCTAAATAATTTATCATGATCAACTAATGTTTTGCTTACATTATATTATATATATACATGGCAAAATTTATCAATCATTTTCTAATCTATATTTATAGTATGATTATAGTATGATTACTTCTTATTTTCTTCTGTCATTTATCTTCGTCTCATGAGTTTATATATATTTTGATTTTTTTTCATCGTAGATAATTATTTGAGAATTTATGATATTATATTTTAAATGTTGGTCTTTCTAATAGGTTAAAAAATAAAGAGTTAAGATAATATTTTAAGTTAAATGTGTGGTTAAACAAAATAAAATTAATTGAATGTAAGATTTTATTTTTATTGAGCTACAAATCTTTTAATAAGAAATAGACCGTTCATATTTCATGAAATATATAGATATTAGAAATAATATAGAGAATATTTTTTTCTTCCAACATTTTAGAAATATGATTACATCAACTGATTTTTACTAATTTTTTTTAGCTACAAATCATAAACATATTTTTAGTTTTTCA